ATACAAATATACTTTGAATATATATAAATATCACTCCTTGCTCTAATTTGTTTGGTTTTTTCATACCTCAGGTTAGTTAGAACTTGAAAGTTGAATCCATTTTTCCATAAAAAACATCCTTCACATCAATTTAAGAGTTCATATCTGAAGCTACGCAAAGGTGCAGAAAGGCTCAGCTCTGCAGCCAAGGCTCTACACAAAGGAGTAATAAGCTGATTCCAACACCACCAACTCCTCCTCCTCCTCCTCCAGGATGAAGCAGGCATCTTATCAGATCTGAAAAGGACACATGAAGCCTTTCTTTCTTCAGAAGCACTTCTCTTAGTGTCATTACACAGGTAAGATGTCTTCAAATGGGTGTATTAAATAGCAGTTTCTACAAATTACATTTTCTAATTTAAGTAATTATTTGGATAAGTGATTAGCTTGTCTAGAAAAGTATGTTAATTTCCATACTTGCACGTACTTGAAATGCAAATTACTAAATCATGACACTACTACTACTACCACCACTGGCTGTAGTGGGAAATTTTCTTCCCTACTACTCACAAAGTGCACAAACACATTTTATCTAGTTTAAACTTCAGACATGGTACCTCTTTGTAGGTATGACTTTCATTGGCCTCATCAACATTAGCCTCCCAACACTGAGTAATGCAGATGACACTCAGTTGAGCTAATTTAGCCCTGGGACAAAAATGAGTTTAGAATGTAACATCACATACCAAAGCTTCCTTCTTTGATGTATAACTAATTATGATGTCCAGAAACGTATACAGTAGAATAAAAACTGGATTATAAATAAGAAAAATATGCAGAAAGGTAGAGCTAACTCATTCACCCAACATACTTTCTCAAGCTTTCTTTCTACAAGCAAGAACAAGAAGTTTGATTATCCTAATTTTAAACTGCTCTATATGTCTCAGATGACTTTAGAGGGTTATTTTTAATCTTAAGCTGTATCTGAAACAAATTCTTTGAAAAGACTATGAAGAAGGACACTCAAAGATGTTCATTTAAAATATTGTGAGGGGCAGCTATTAGATTGGTATGTTCTAAATGCATTCTTTTCAAAACCAATGACTTAAAATGCTTTTCTGAGCCAAATGCTTTATTAAGAATAAGTATAAATCTCTACTCCTCGAAGTCAACTTACTTCCATGAAACTTGAGGAGATCACTGTAATTATCAATAATCCATTACGAAAGACTTCAGGCACCTTTTGCAGCAATTTGCAGGTGGCTCACTTATCAAATTCAGTTAAAAGCAGAACAAAGCTAAAAGCTGTGAAGCCTTTAGAGAAATGGCAAATGCAAAGAGTGTAAGATTAAGGAAAATCTCTTTAGGTCATTTGAGGAGATGCAGACAAGCAGAAGGTCTAAGAAGACACACTGACCGAGACCTACTGACAGTATTGCTCCCTCAACAGGGACTCATGGCTTTGCTCATTTATCACTGCCAACCAGAAGACACAAAACTTATTTAACAAGACAAATTAAAGTACTTGACTTCAGTAACATTTCATGAAGTATATTTCTGTTGAATTTTGGACACTGTGTTTGTGACCAGAACATAGCTATCATGCTGCACACACGAAAATAGAAACAGTTTAAGTAATTCTTAATCCTTTAATACAGAATACATATACACCAAACATAACATTCTTCAGTAGAGTTCAAACTGCAATTACATTTTATAATGACCCAATTCTCTACATAGTTGTGTCAAATTACCAGAATTACAAATACAGTCAAGGCTAAAAGTAAAAGTTGAAATTGGGTCGTCATCTTTCCTAGAGAAGACGTTCTCAAAATGATCCCTTCTCACTCAGTCACAGGCAAGTCCACTAGACACGGTTTTTCCAATGTTAGCCCATTTTTCAAAACTGGGCTCAACAAAATGAAACATATTATTTGCAGGGGTTTTATTATTGAACTTTAAAATTGCCTACAAAACTCCACTCTTCATACTGTCTTAATTTCTGTCTCAGAAATCTGATCATATGAGTCCAAGCCCAGAAGGGATGGGGGGCATCCAGGGCTGGGGAAAGAGAAGAGCCCTCAAAAAAACTCCCAGAGGACTTCTGTCTACAAGTTTTTGGCTGGAGCTTGACCAACAGCATCTCTGCAAGCTACAGAGATCACAAGGGGTCCAAGCAGGCATTTTCCATCTCAAAGTATTAAAGCCTGAGGGGTGGGGGTGTGCATAGCTCTTTTCCACTATTCCCACACACCCACCTTGTTTCATAAAATGCCATTTACAACATGAATAGGAAACAACTATAAGATGATTTGGGGATGTAGTGGAGTCCCCATTGCTGGAAGTTTTCAAGATGAGACTGAACAGGGTGGCAGATTATCTCAGCTATGCTTCCTTTCCCATGAAAGGCTGGACCAAATCATACCTCAGGTCTCATCCAATCTGGGCTGTTCTGTGATTCTGGGACCTGTGATCGTATCATGTGCCAATACAAATTACCTGATTCAACCTCTATTATTTGGAAATTATAAACCCCTCCAAATGTCTAAATTCTGAGGCAAAGAATTCACTTTGTGAAAAGAGCTGCAAAGAGCTGTGTGTATGGCACACTGAGGTCATCACCGATAATCAGCTGAAGGTCTTCACAGCAGGAGAACTAACTTTGACAGAAGACAAGATTCAAACACCGCACCTCCCTTCAATCCAATCACTAAGCAGGAAAAGCTTTGGCTTTTTTCCTTCATGAGAAGACAGAGAAGGGAGCTTGACATGTTTTTCAGATACAAACCATTGCTTTTTTCCCCATTTAACAGAAACCATACAGATCCTTCACTTAGGAGAAGAAGTACATTTAAGAGGATTTTAATTCAAATTACTCATAGAACTAAGTGCTATTAATAAATATGTCTATCTTCAGTCTTTTCTTTTTCCTCAGGGTTTGCCTGTTACCCCTTTAATGATATTGAAGCTGCCCTTAAGGTGACAAACAGAAAATAGTAATGCAGCTTTTTTTCCTTTCCTCTCCATGAATTAATGTTGATTAGTGTTACACTCATCCAAAACCTTGGAAAAAAACATCCTGCCAAAATCTGACTTTCATAAGTGATTTACTTTAGTACTTGGACGTTTGCAGTATCTCTAACTCCTCAATCTTAATTAACTAAAATTTTATTACCACACTTGGAAAGCAGATCAAAATTTGTCTGATTTTGCCAACTGGCTGAATAAATGTCCTTAACTTTTAAGTTGTCAGATTTCATTTTACTTGGAAAGTTTAAAATCTTCATGGCTTTGCCTAATGAGTCACTTGAGAAGTGACACAGAAATAATGTCTTGTCCCATCAAAAAAAAAAACCAAAAAATTTCCTTTAGAAAGGTGTTTCTTGTAGAATCTTTCCTAGAATCAAAATTAAATGGAAGCAGATGCTATCATCTACATACAGATATATCTCTTAAGCTTGACTGCTTTAAGAGAAGCTGTGCTTATTTATTTCACATTATCACTGAAAGTCAGGCACACTGCTTTCTTTGAAATAGGTAAGGAAGATTTGTGTGACAGTATAAATATTACTATGACTCAAACTCTTGCAGTTGTTTAAGGCAAGATCAAACCACCTAATTCGACCTCAAGAGAGTTGTTAAAAAAAAAAAAAAAGCATCTCTAAGCCTTGGCATCCAAGTTTATTTCTCTTCTAATGAACTACAACTGTGTGTACTTATCTGAACTCGGGCAGCAGTCAGCAAGCATCTGCTGGCCAGGAATGTATTAAGTGGAGAATTAACAGCTAGAGCAAACAGCAATTGCTGCAGAGAGTGGTACAATGTTGTAAGGTAATAGGAACGCTTCAGAGAAAGCAGGAGCTTCCCCTGTTTCAGCACAGCAGCGCATTGCCAAATGCAGAGTTATGCAAGTGTGACCATCCGTGCCGCGTGTGGGAAGCTCAGCCCGGCAATTACCGTGCGACACCCCCTGAAACACGGGGCTGGGGCTGGGCTGGGCAGAAACGAAACCACAGGGCTGAAGGAAACGAGCAGGCAGTCACGGACACGGCAGAGCGAAGCACACGCACCTCCACTGCAGCGGGAGCAGCCGGGAGCCGAGTGCCGGCTGAGGGGTTCAGAATGCTAAAAGCTGCCTTTGTTTGCCGTGCAGGTGTGAGCGACTCAGTGAAGAGACACTGTCCCCGTCCTCTGCCGCTGGTTTTGCCCCACTGTACAAAGACTTCTATTGCAACATTTTCTACTGGCCATCTCCCTCTCTAGTCCCTCATCCTGTCCCAGAACTTACTAAGTTCACAGCAGAGAAAGTTTCGCTCTGACTTCTCAGAAACCCAATTTGCAGAGTATGGCCACAGTACTTCATTCCTCTTCAGGATTTTTAGAACCAGATGTTTAGTGAATCCTTGATCCAGATAAGTAAGATACACCTTTTCACTGCATCTCACTATATGAGGCCAAGGAAGGGAAAGAAGTGGCACCTTGGCAATTCTCTATTTAAAATGGATCCTGATCACCAGCCTTGCTTAGTGTACTGCTTGTGGAAGCAGCTCTTATGACATCTGTCGAGGACAGAACACAGGGTAAAAACTGACCACTTTAATAAATTCAGTTTCATGGGAAACTATTTTTTTTTTATATCTACAATGTGCAAATACACATTAGTAATTATTTGAACATGACAATGAAAAGCCATCTGCCATCTGAAGGATGCTCCTAAAAATGTAGTCAATTATACACCTACTGATACAAACAAATGTTTCTTTTAAATGCACTGTTTCTAAATTTGCAGCAGACATTTTCTACACTCTAGGAATGTTTACTCAGTGGACCAGATCAGAATAAACTAGCTTCTGTTAGTCAGAACTATTATTCTTAAAGCTATTATCTATCCCCTGTACTCAAATAATTTCTACCCATTCCCTGTTGGGTAAGAGAAGACTGATCATTACGTGAAAGCAGATATATCTTCCAACTGGATGTGAAAGAAATTCTAAAAATTACAAAATGTAATGCAAACTTACCAACTCTATTCCCTGTGGAAAAGGAGTGTCTTCCCAGTCCTTCTGAGGAAACCTCTGTATTATTTTCCCCAAACCTTCTGTTGGTCCTGCTGAAAGATAAAAATTCTATTACTTAAAAGCAAACTGCTGGAATTTAAATCACCATTTAAGAATATTTTTAGAATATACCCAATATTAGGAAATTTTTCACCACAATAGGCAGAACAGGCTCCTCAAATATGTCTTGCATGTCACAAAATAAATACAATCTTAAAGGTTCTCCATCAGTAACACGAGGAGTCACAGCATGAAATGAAGCCAGGAGCTGCATTCAGCCTCTGCCCATCGTGTGTGTTATCAAAATGACAGGTGATTACTGATAATTCTAGTCTCTCTCTACAAAAAGTCGTAAGTTAAAAACTAATATAACAGATAATGTGATATTTACAAAAGAAAGCACACAGTTGTCATGTGAGACCATGAAGAGGTCTTCCAAAAGAAGCCTACAGACTGAAAGAAGATTAAAACTCCATATGGTTCATCTAGGACACTCTAGCTCCTTGTCAGTACTTGTCGTTGGTTTCCTTAGACAAGTCAGCAGTGGTTTTCCACACAGAAAGATGTCAAGAAAAGCTGCTAATTTCTGATAACTTCTCTGATGCAACTGTCTTCTTTTTTTACCCATTCCTTTTCTGGAGGGCACAATGGTACAGAGAGAAAGTCCTTGGGAAATACTGCAAATCACCACCACTGTAGCCTTGCATCATCCTGAATGGTACAGGAAGGCACATACAAACATGAATTCTGTTCTTCACCTTCTGAAGTCCTGGAGTAAATACTGAAATAATCATAACTTTCTTTTTTTTTTTTTTTTTTTTTTTTTTTTACTGGATTTGAGCTCTGGGATACACCAACAAACGAACATAAAGTGAAAGCCATTTTGACATCAACCAATACTATCCTGAAGGAATGGTGAAAACTAGCACCATCTAGAACTGAGCAGCACACAAGATAAAGTTTGCAAACAACAGCCGCCGACTTATGTTTCCCACATTTAATGTATGACCCCCTGGGTGAAGAACCTTTTCCTGATACCCAGCCTAAACCTGCCCTGACACAACTTCAGGCCATTCCCTGGGGTCCTGTCCCTGGTCACCACAGAGCAGAGATCAGTGCCTGCCCCTCCTCTGCCCCTCACAAGGAAGTTGTAACTGCACTGAGGTCTCCCTTCAGTCTCCTCCTCTCCAGCTGAACACACCAAGTGCTCTCAGCTGCTCCTCACACGGCTTCCCCTCAAGGCCCTTCACCATCCTCATTGCCCTCCTTTGGACACTCTCTGATGGCTTCATGTCTTTTTTATATTGTGGTGCCCAAAACTGCCCACAGGACTCAAGATGAGGCTGCCCCAGTGCAGAGCAGAGCAGAGCAGGACAATCCCCTCCCTTGACCCAGCTGGTGATGCTTTGCCTGATGCCCCCCAGAACAGGGTTGGACCTCCTGGCTGCCAGGGCACTGCTGGCTCAGATTCAACTTGCCATCGACCAGCACCCCAGGTCCCTTTCCGTGGCACTGCTTTCCAGCCTCTCATTCCCCAGTCTGTACATACATCAGTGGCAAAGCTGAAATTTGCAACCATTTAAAACAGCTTTTAATAGCGGACCCATCACATTCAATTGGATCACCTTTTCTCTAAAATAATACTACAATTAAAATTGAGGCTAAACATTACAATTTTTAAACATTTTTCTTGGAAAATTCTCAAAGCTATACTTTGATATTATGAGGCAGTACAAATTATGCATCAGTAGTAGCAGTCCATGTGCTGCTTCCTCCGCAGACACCCAAGCAGCAGCAATGAATACATTATTCTCCTGACTTTACCACAGAAGACAATTTTCAGTCTGACACAGCTCAAGTCTGCTAGCATAAATCAGTGTTAAGGTGCAAAAAAAATAGGTTTCCTTTAAGCTGCCTGCTAATTTACAGTCTGAGTTTGCTGCTATCTCAAAACCAATCATAATTTTTACCAGGTATTTAGGTAAAGCCAATCTGATGGTTTATTAAGAAGCATTTTCTCCAGTTTATGAATATTTACACTTAACGTTCTGTAACTGTCTCTTGAAAATAATTTAGGAACAGATGTTCTTGGTACAATGGGCATATCAACCACACAGAGCAGACTCCCAAGAGCAATCTTATCCCCACAAAAGCACATACTGATTGTGACTCCCAAGGGCAGCCTGCTGAAGAATTGCAATCAGACTGGTTAGCTATGAGATCTAAGTAGCAGTAAAAGATGAAATCAGCAAGCTAAAAGGCAAAGGAGATATCACATTACAGAGAGGCTGCAGAGATGCCCAGAAAGCAGAGCTAGGATGTACCAGAAACCAAGGAACCAATACAGGCATGGTTACAGCCTCAGTTTCTGTAAGGAAATGGAGCTCCCTATCTATTAGACTGTAGGAACTGAATAGGGTCAGCACTCACTTATTTCACTTGTTTAAGATCAAGTGTTCCCCTTGTGTACTCTTCCACAGCATCTTCCACTGAATTATCATTCTTCTCCCCTCCACTATTTCATCTCAACACCCTTCCAAGATGAGGAGGCATAAATGCAAAGGCTTTATTTACCATTCCCTTCCTAAACAGCTCTGGGAAGAGCAGAGAGCCACACACCTTCCCTCCTAAGGCAGACAAACACACTCCAGCATTCCTTCTTTCCTCTACAGGCATCCAGTCTCTGTTTCCTCTTTTCATGTAAAAAAATAACAGAACAGCTACATTTTCAACTAGATACGGTAGGAATTGATATGTATTTTATTGCCAGCATGCAATAAGCAGCCTTCATCCTTCTGTGTTTTCCTCTTACCCTTCACCTTTGGTACCCCACTCAGAGAACTTGTCTTTCCTTTATGCAGTCACCTACTTGACAGTTGCTACTACTCTCCTTTTCACCCCAATAGGGCTGTCACTTCATGGATTCAGTATCAGAACTTCTTCTCTTGTTGAGTTTAAAGTCTCAAATTACCATGTTATCTACTTTTCTAAGTCATATCTTTATCAAGCCTCCTCTTTCTATAGTTGTTCCAACGTTGGCAGGTGGCACAAAGAAGAGACAGCAAACAAATGCATCCAAGGCATGAGTGAGTACCAACACCTTGCAGGCAGAGCAGGACTTGTGGTTGAGAAGCCAACAGCAAGAAAGGGCAGAAGGCACAAGGTGAACCGAGCTATCCAGACTTCCCAGAAAAGGAAGGATCAAAGAATTACAGCAGCAAACAGTCCCTGCTGTGTCTGAGCCCCCTAAGTTTCTCTGTGGGAACGCAGGCGACTTTTTCTTTTACTCTGAATGAAGATCTCAAAAGGCTGAAACCTCTGACACTGCCAAGTACACTTATAAATAATGAAATCCAGGAAAGTAGCTCAAAATGTCTTCTATTTAGTCATATTTTGAAGCTATCAATCCTTCTAGTTCTCTTTTTATTTGACTGCTACAAAGATCCTCCCTACATTCCTACAGGAACTTTTTTTAATTCAGAATGAAGAGATGCAACATTTTTTTAAAAATTTTTAATAGTCTCTCCTTTATGTCAAAAGGTTGTCAGGTTTTTTAGGTTACTTTCCTTAGAAGGCCACTAATGCTGGCCACCAGTGTCAGACCTTAATGTATGTAGTTCTATTTCACTTTCTAGAAGGATTCTAAACCTCTGTAGGGATTTACTGGAAAGAAATGCACTTCTGAACATTTTCTGAAAGCCAGAATGAACTTCTTATGCCACCTGAACTTGCACTTCAATTCACCTCTGGGATCAAATGTCTTGGAGGTCACTGTTGGGAAAACCCTCTTGAAAAATAGGAACATCTTCTATCTCCCTCTAGTTCAAGTGCAACTGATTTGGAACCCAGCTTCTCAAAAAATTTAGAAAAGGATCCTTTTCCAAACAGCTCACAGGATCCTCAAAAACTTTCCAATTATTAAACAAAGTTAAGGCCCACAGTAGTAAAGATAAATCTTCAGGAAATCATCAGCTTAAATATAGAGAAAGTTCAAAGTTTAAAAAAAGAGTTCACGGAAGGGTGCATGTAGAATATATCACAAAAATGCAGCATTTTAAAAGGGGAAAAAAAAAAAGATCTGTATCCAAGATATGAGCATTAGAAAATAAGTATTCACATCCATCAGATGTGAATAAAAACAAAACTCCAACAGAAAAAGCATTGTTTAATCCTTCTACAGAAAAGTCCTGTGATAGAGATCTACAAATCTACTAATAATCCATAAAAGCTAACTATTTCACATGATTTCTTAAACTGTATACAACACAGATAGATGGAAAACACTCTTTCCATCCCACTAAACTTTGGTTGGCTTGGGGGGATTGTTGGTTTTGCCTTTTTTTTTTTTTTTTTTTTAATGAAGCTGCAATCCTCCAAAATCAAGGCAATTCTTCTGAATATCACAGTTTTGTATGTTTGCAATTATGAAACAGAATTCACTGTAACTTTGATAAATTTGGAAAATAAACAGAATTATTCTTTTCAACTACAGAAATTACTTGGTGACAATTTCAGACCCAGGATCACTTGAAAGAATCTCCAAGCTACAGGCAGCAAGGACCTGGCCTGCTCTTGCCACAAGAAGCTGCTAACTTGGATTGGAAGTGTACTTTACCCAAATACAGAAATTTCCATTTATTCCTTATACAGAAGCAAAAGATAAGCAGAAAAGGTCTGTCTGAGAGACTGACTGTACTCCTTCCCATGAATGCAAATAAAGGTAAATAAAAATGCTTAATGCTGCTACACAAGGTTAAAACCTGTGCAAGAGAAGACCCAGTAGCTGCTCTTCCATTTAATAACGACACCAATTCAGTACAGCCTGCTCACCACATTTTCCCAACACTTTATAGTTCAATTACTGTTGATTCTCTGTTGGCATTTTTCAATCCAACTAGTTGTATAACAGCAGAATTGTACTAAATCCCTGAACCCCATGGTTTGGGGTGAGGGGGTGTGAACGATATCTGCCTTCAGCTGACTTTTATTAAATCATCCAACTTTCAGCACAGAAGTTATGTCTGAAGATAACAGGTTATTCAAAGGTGGCTGC